ATTGTTTTATTCTAATCCTCAGCTGAGTATATTTTCCCATTGAACTTTAGAGAGAGTGGGAGAGACGAGGAGAGACAGAATGAGAGAAACATCGATATGAGAGAGACATCAATTGGTTGCCTCCCACATGTGCCCTGACTAGAGCTGGGATCGAGCCTGCAACCGAAGTATGTACCTTGACCAGAATCAAACCTGGGACTCTTCAGTTTGAGGGCCGATGCTTTATCCACTGAGCCAAACCAACTAGGGGCAGTGGTCGGCAAACTCATTAGTCCACAGAGCCAAATGTCAACAGTACAACGATTGAAATTTCTTTTGAGAGCCAAATTTTTTAAACTTAAACTTCTAACACCATTTCTTCAAAATAGACTCGCCCAGGCCATGGTATTTTGTGGAAGAGCCACACTCAAGGGGCCAAAGAGCCGCATGTGGCTCATGAGCCACAGTTTGCCGACCATGGGGTTAGGGTAAAACTGCAGTTTTAACTCAGAACTGTCTTTGCCGCTGAAAAAAATATACAATGTGCACCACTCAAAAACCTGGGGAATTAATTCTTAGCAACCTGCAGACCTGATCAGAAGCACTCCATAGCCTGTGGTGGAAAGGATAAGTAATTACCATTTAGAATAATCAGGTTCTCCTGCTGTTAATTAATTTTAAGATGAGAAGGCCTCTCATTAACCCTTCACCCCTCTCCAAATCTGCTATTGCTAAGGTGGCCATGATAAGTGTGTGGCATGCTCCTGATGCTTTTAGATGCTCTTAGAAGTCACTAGAACAGAGCTGGGGAAAAAATGACATAAATGAGATTCATTCCTGAAATGAAAGTGTAAGGCCTTGAACTTGCAGTCCCCGTAGCTTCACAGTACTGCTCATATAGTGGGCACTGGGGAAATGCATGCTGATGACTTACTAGCTCATAGTTACCCCTGGATAACTTCGTTTGGAGTTATCCCCTAAAGCAGATCCTAAGACAGGATTCACAGGCAGGTAGCTGATTTGGGAGGTAGGGGGCAGGTAGGAAAGTGGGGGGCAGGGAGACAAGGAAGGGGGTAACCCAATAAAGCATTCACTGTTAAGGCAGGCACCACTGGAAGCAACTGGACCACTGTGGGAACCAAGGCAGATCATGGCCTGAGAGGTATACTGACTGAGGAAGAGGGCAAGCTGGGGTATTGATCCACCAGCTGCTCCTGGTGGAATGGCTGCTCCTCTGGGAGTAGTAACTGCTCGGCACTTCCGGTGTGCTCCATGAGCATGCTCCCGTGGCCAGAAGCCCACAGGCAAAGAATCGCTGGTTGTCTCAGCTGGAAACTGGGTTGACATGCTTGACATGACACATGCTAAGTGAACATGGTTCCAGCTCTAATAGCGTCTGCTACACTGGGGCTTCCATGAGGTCTGTGGTCTCCCTCGGGTGTGTGGAACATGCTGGAAGGTAGGCAGGAAGTGAGAGACAAGCAAGTGGGGCCCTCAAAGAAACCTGATTGAATTGTTTTTAGATAGAGGAGGAGAGAGGGGGGAGGAGAGAGAGAGAGAGAGAGAGAGAGAGAGAGAGAGAGAGAGAGAGAGAGAGAGAGAAACATTGATGTGAGTCACATCAATTGGTTGCTTCCCACATGTGCCCTGGACCGGGAATCAAATCCATGACCCTTTGGTCCACAGGCCAGTGCTTTAACCATTGAGAAAACTGGTCAGGGTGAGACTCTTTAAATACTCCTTGTTTCAGGTAAGGTTGAACTGGGAAGTTATACATGTTTTGTTTTGTTTTAAATATATTTTTATTGCTGTCAGAGAGGAAGGGAGAGGGAGAGAGAGAGAAACATCAATGATGAGAGTGAATCATTGAGTGGCTGCCTCCTGCATGCCACATACTGGGGATTGAGCCTAAAACTTGGGCATGTGCCCTTGACCAGAATAGAACCCAGGACTCTTCAGTCTGCAGGCTGACACTCTATCCACTGAGCCAAAGCAGCTAGGGCTGAAATGGGAAGTTTAAGACTTGGGAACTGGGGAAAGGAAAGAAGAAAGAAGCTGGCCAAAAAAGATCTAAAAAATAGTCTCAGTAAAAGGAAAGAAGACAGCACATCAGAACCAAACATATAAAATTTACCAGTAACACAGAGATTCTCCTTCTAAAATTCCATACTGAGAAAATACTATTAGATACAGCTAATAATAATAATACTAAGTACATAGATACTACTAAATACCAATAAATAGGATTTATACACAAAGATGTTCTTTGTAAAATCCTATATAATAAAGAGCTAATATGTAAATGACCAGTTGCTATGACGTGCACTGACCACCAGGGAGCAGACGCTCAATGCAGGAGATGCCCCTTGGTGGTCATTGCACTCCCACAAGGGGAATGCCTCTTAGCCAGAAGCCAGACTCATGGGCTAAGGCTGTCCAACTGCCAGCTTAGGCCTGCTTCCAAGGGCTCCCAGACTGTGAGAGGGCACAGGCCAGTTTGAGGGACACTCCCCACCAAGTGCACAAATTTTATGCACCGGGCCTCTAGTTATTTATAATAGCAAAACATTAAAGGCATTATGAAGGGTTTTATGATACTGAGTTGGTTAAGTGAATCAACATATGTTTTATAGCCATGTATATGACACTTATGCAGAATTCTTGATGACATGAGAAAAAGCTTGATATATGAAGTGAAAGAAGGAGAAAAAATTGTACATACAATATGATCTCAATTGTTGACAAGGCCCAGCACAAAAAGATTGGAAGGGAAAAGGCCAAAATGTTCCTATTGGTTGTAGCTAGGGAAAAAATTTCCCGACACATATTTGTCTACTTCTGTGTTTCCTTCTGTACTAGCACAATTTTTTTCCTAAGAAATAAAGTAAAAATGGTGGGCAGAGAGCCCTCTATATTATTTAAAATATAAGACAGTGTGCTGACAGGTTTGGCTCAGTGGCTAGAGCATTGGCCTGCAGACTGAAGGTTCAATTCTGGTCAAGGGCATGTACCTTGGTTGCAGGCACATTCCCAGTCGGGGGGCGGAGGGGTTGCAGGAGGCGGCTGATCAATGTTTCTCTCTCATCGATGTTTCTGACTCTCTATCCCTCTCACTTCCTCTCTGTAAAAACTCAATAAAATATATATTTAAAAATAAAATAAAATATAAGGCAGCATCCTGTTAAGAATTATTTCTGCTCAAGGAATTGTGGGGTTCATAAGATCTTCTAGGCCCCCCTGGAGACTGATTTTTGTGATTGGATTATATTGGGGTGCCCTGAGCTCAGACAAAATATGGCAAGACGGTGTGAACATCGGCTCTGTCTAGACTGGACCTCATTAGGCAGAGGAAACACAACATTAAAAATGCTGGCCAGAAAATTATAAGGACATAAAAATGCTAATATTTATTGTCTGTAATAAAATCACATTTATGGGTGTTCTTTTGGTCTGCTGGGTCATATGTTTCTGCATGTCAACCCTGATTGCCAAGAGAATGTTTGGGAAGACATAAAACTCAATTAAAATAAAAAAGACACACCAATTTGCTTATAGAAAAATCTGAACACAAAACTGTAAAATTTTGCAATGTCCTCTTCTTTCATCTGCTCTCCTCTCTACATATAATGTATCTATTTAGGTAACTTGGGGGGGCGGGGCTTTAACTACATTATTTCAACTCCTACAATTCAAAAGAGGAAAGAGCCACTTTGACTGGACCAATAAGGGCAAACTGTAGGCGGGCCAGTGGTCCCCAGTGAGGGAGATTTTGCTCCCCAGGGAATATCTGGCAGTGTCTGGAATCATTTTTGGTCCTCACAACTAGGGGAGGAGGTCCTACTACTGCCACCTAGTGGGTAGAGGCCAGGGTTGCTGGTCAATATCCTACAATGCCCAAAGCAGCCCCCTTCCACAGAGAATCCGCCAGCCCAAATGGCCACAGTGCCAATGTGTGCTGAGAGTTGAAGGGGGAGAAGGAGTGGTGGGGTGGAGTATGTTGTGGGCACTTCAGGAAGGGGGGTTGGTCAAAGGAAATCAAAGATGAGAATTCTTCTATAATAGCTGGGAGGGAAAGAGCGACTCTGAGAAGCAGAGGCAGAGCTGTTGGCTGTAAGAATGTGTATCAAGCCTAACTGGTTTGACTCAGTGGATAGAGCATCAGCCTATGGACTGAAGGGTCTCAGGTTCAATTCTGGTCAAGGGCACGTGCCTAGGTTATGGGCTCAGTTCCCAGTAGGGGGCATGCAGGAAGCAGCCGATCAATAATTCTCTCTTTTCATTGATGTCTCTCTCTCTCCCTCTCTGAAATCAACAAAAATACACTGAGTGGCCAGATTATGATGATCTCTGAATGCATAATATTCTGGCCACTCAGTGTATATCCTATAGAATAAAAAGCTAATATGCAAATTGTCCCCTCGACCAGGAGTTTGACCAGCAGGCAAGCCGGCCAATTGCCATTGTCCCCTCCCCCTGGCCAGGCTGGCCAGACCCCACCCATGCACAAATTCATGCAATGGGCCTCTAATATATACACTGTATATATACACTGAGTGGCCAGGCTATTATGCGTTCAGAGATCATCATAATCTGGCCACTCCAGTATATATATATATATATATATATATATAAAAAGAACAAAAACAATCGTGCTTCAATCCCCTATCATTCCCATTAGACTTGTGATTCTTAAGCTGGAAACTTCAAGGAAGTCTTGAGTTTTGTGCCATTTGCAGATCTGAGTGTCACATAGGACTGAACAGCCAACTTGGAAGATACTTAGAAAACGCGCTACTTTCTCTTCTTTCCAACGACTGGGGTTGCTATCATGAAGAACAACATACTAAGACTCCTGACTCATGATTGGTGCTGCGGAGGCACACTACTTTTGCTCTGCTGTCATTACTCATCGTGGTTTTACTGGATGGAGCGGCACACAGGAGCCTGAGGGGACTTTTCCTCGTAGAACACTTACAGGGTAAGGCTGGATGACAGTCAGCAGGATCGATTCTTTGCAGCTTCTGTAAAAGAGAAAAACACAAACATGTTTATGAAAGGCACAGGGACAGCGTTCTTTGGGAACGAATTGTGGGATTTGTTGGCGAATGTCACTTGACTCAAAGGGCAAAGCATCCAACAGCTTGGAAGCAGACCTGCAGACCAGAGAGAAATCTGCAATCAAGTGTCCACCCAGGGACACCAGCAGCCCGGCCCGACTGACTGCCAGTTTCCCACTTGGTTCATGTTGGGCAATACGATCTGTGATGCCGAATAGCCCGGTCTTAAAATAAAATCCGTGGAGGGCAGATTGGTTTTAGAAGCTTCAATTCAGTCTTTTTATACTTTCCTCTGCTCTCAAAATTGATTTTCCCCTCCAGATTTTCCTCTGCTGCTTAAAAATTTCTGAGAAATTTTCTGTGAGGGGGATGATAGATTTTTTAAATTCTATCCATTGCTCTAGTTTTGTGGTCAGCAAACTGTGGCTCAAGAGCCACATGAGGCTCTATGGCCCCTTGAGTGTGGCTCTTCCACAAAATGCCAAGGCCTGGGCGAGTCTATTTTGAAGAAGTGGCATTAGAAGAAGTTTAAGTTTAAAATATGTGGCTCTCAAAAGAAATTGCAATCATTGTCCTGTTGATATTTGGTTCTGTTGACTGATAAGTTTGCCAACCACTGCCCTAGTTGGTTTGGTTCAGTGGGTAGAGTATCAGACTGTGGACTTAAGGGTCCTGGGTTCTATTTCAGTCAAGGGCATGTATCTTGGTTGCCAACTCAATCCCCGGTAGGGGGTGTGCAGGAGGCAACCAATCAATGTTTCTCTCTCATTGTTGATATTTCAATCTCTCTCTCCCTTCCTCTCTGAAATCAATAAAAAAATTTTTAAAAAAATTTCTGTCCATTCATTGAACACCGTTATTTTCTCAGGATCAGCATCATGAAAAAAAAAAAAAAAATGGCACTGTAGGTTTTTATGTAAAAGCAGTATCCCAGCCCTGGTTGGTTGGCTCAATGGATAGAGCGTCAGCCTGAGGACTGAAGAGTCTGAGGTTTGATTCCGGTCAAGGGCATGTACCTTGGTTTCAGGCACATCCCCGGCTGGGGCCCTGGTCAGGGCTCATGCAGGAAGCAACCAATCGATGTGTTTCTCTCACATCGATGTTTCGCTCTGTCTCTCCCTCTCCATTCCATTCTCTCTAAAAATCGATGGAAAAATATCCTCAGATGAGGATTCACAAAAAATAAGTAAATGAATAAAATAAAATCTCTCTATATATAAAAGCCTAAGTGACCATTACAACCAGATGACTGGACAACCAGCCAGTAGCTATGACACGCACTGACCACCAGAGGGCAGACACTGAACACAGGAGCTGCCTCTGGTGGTCAGTGTGCTCCCACAGCCAACCTCCCCTGGCCAGCCTACCTCCCACGGTCCCTCCCCCTGGCCGATCTGCCCCAATCAGTCCCAATCACGGGCCAGGTGGAGGGATCTCACCCATGTACGAATTCGTGCACCGGGCCTCTAGAAGAAAAATAAAATAAAAGCAGCATCCCAGGAAACATGACTTCCCATACTGTACTTACTCGGTCCGCAGTAAGGACCCTGAAAACTTGGGAGATAAATATTTCAGACAGGCCCTCATGGGGAAGTATTTTCACAATAGGGAACACTTTGGAGCTAAAGGCAGACCTGTGTAATATAATGGTTTATTTAATTTCCCCCAAGTAACCCAAATCTTTCAAAGAACTCCAACCCTTGGGTGGGGGGAGGGAGGGGGAATCACACTATGGGCTAGAATCGTTTTTCTTTCCTCGTCCCTCTGATCCTTCTTTAGCATGAGGGGGAGGCAGGTCATTTGCCACTTTGCTGAGGAAGAGCCGCCTTTTCCTGCTCTGGGCGGTAATTAATTCCCTGCGTGGTGATTTATTTCTCAAGCAGATCAAGCGGAGGGCATCTGCTGCGGCCTGTTCTCTTGGAGAGGCCGCTGCAAATCGCATCTCCCGCACGAGCCGCCCTGCGGTTTGACCTGCTGGGAGGGAGAATGTTCTACTGACTCCCGGCAGCCAGCAGCGGTGGGGTGGGCCCTGAGGGAGGGACTGGGGAGCAGAGAGGGGGAGAAATCAGCAGACCTGAAAGAGGAGGGCTGAAACTCAAAGAATCCACCCTAGCTGCTTTGGCTCAATGGGTTGCCTTGGCCTGCGGACTGAAGGGTCAAAGGTTAGATTCTGGTCAAGGGCACATGCTGGGGTTGCGTGATCAATCCCCGGGGGGGGGGGGGGGGGGGGGCAGGAGGCAGCCGATCAGTGATTTTTCTCTCGTCATTATTGATATATATAATTGATTTTTTATAATATATATAATTGTATATATAATTGATTTTTTTACAAAGAGGAAGGGAGAGGAATAGAGAGTTAGAAACATTGATGAGAGAGAAACATCAATCAGCTGCCTCCTGCACACCCCCTATTGGGAATGTGCCTGCAACCCAGGTACATGCCCTTGACCGAAATCGAACCCGGGATGGGACCCTTCAGTCTACATGCTGATGCTCTATCCACCGAGCCAAACTGGTTAGGGCTCAATGATATATTTTTAAAAAACCTCAAAGAACTTGAGAAACAGTGAGCACACTTGGGATGATTGCAGGGAGGCTGTTGAGTGGCCCATCTGCTCTCATGAGTTCCCAGCTGCCAAGCACTGGCCGTGAACCCTAGCAAAAGGAGCAGACAGCCAGAATCCCCACTCGATGGGGTACCAGGGCCACAGTGTCCTCTGAGGAGAATCCAGTGGGTAAGATGCATGATCATGCATTATTGGTAAGATGTCAGCACGCGCATTGGCATGAGACAGTATGAAATATAATACCATTTACACAGGCTCAAAATGCCCCCACGAAACAGCATCAATATATTTGTAATAACCCAATAAAAAATGACAGGACGCACACTAAACATATTAGAATGTTTTCTCTTGGGGGAGATAGTAGTGGGTGTGAGCATAAATAAATAAAACCAGAGACCTTGCACGGTCTATGATGCTAATCATTTATGCCGTGAATTTATGACTTTGATGAATTCAACTCTCTGTAGCTGTGATTTTAAAAAATCAGAATTTGAAGGAAGATGAAATTGGGGGCGGGAGGGGGGATCATGTCAGCAAACTTCTAAGCTGTTTAAGGGGAAGCGGCCCTTGGAGAGCTCTAAAATAACCCCTAATTTGCTCACCAAGATAATGGAGAACCAACTCTTTGGGCCTAGCGCACTACAGCTCTCTCCAAGAGAGAAATGGATAAGCAGAAGTATGCAGTGTGGCTCAGTGGTTGAGCACTAATCCAGGAACCAAGAGGTTTCAGATTCAATTCTGGGTCAGGGCACATGTCCCGGATGTGGGCCCAAACCCCAGTAGGGGGCATGCAGGAAGCAGTCAATGGATGATGTTTCTCTCTCTCCTCAATGTTTCTATCTATCCTTCTCCTTCTCTAAAAGTCAATAAAAACATAGAATGAGTGGCCAGATTATGATGATCTCTGAATGCATAATAATCTGGCCACTCAGTGTCTATCCTATAGAATAAAAGGCTAATGTGCAAATTGTCCCCTTGACCAGGAGTTTGACCAGCAGGCAGGCCGGCCAACCATCCATGTTCCCTTCCCCTGGCCAGGCTGGCCGGACCCCACCCATGCACAAATTCATGCACCAGACCTCTAATATATGTGTGTGTTATGCAACACAGCCAAAGAGTCCTATTCCTGGCTGAGTAAGAGGATAGGATACAGATGCTGGTGGTCCCCTGTGTAGTCCTGGTTCCCACCATTACTGAGGGCCAGTTGCTCACCATTCTGTTAGAAATAGAATAATAGATGTCAAACATCGCAGTATGATATCTGTCAGCAGTTTTGGGAATGGGCTTTTATTTGTTTTCTTTCATATCTAAGTAGCTAATTATCACCTGCCAGATAAGAAAAATATACTCCACAGCCCTTTGAGTTCTTAGGAAGCCTACCCCAATTCTAGGGGGAACAAAGATTGAAGCCATATGCATTCACATGTTCCAGGATGCTAACATGGTGCAGGCAGATTCAGCTGAAGCCTCATGCCAATACATGCCAATCACACCTACATGCCAAAGCCAGGTGCTATAGGACTTTCAAAGGAGGCCTTAAAACCCAGAGTTTGGTCCCAGCCAGTGTTGCTCAGTGATTGAGCATAGACCTATGAACCAGGTCTTCACAGTTTGACTCATTGTCAGGGCACATGCCCGGATTGCAGGCTCGATTCCCAATAGGGGGAGTGTAGGAGGCAGCGGATCCATGATTTGCTCTCATCATTGATGTTTCCCTCCCTCTCCCTTCTTATCTCTGAAATCCATTAAAATGTTTTTTTTTTTTAAATAAAACCAGCAAAAGAGAGAGTCCTTTGACTAGATGTAGGTTACAATCTATGTAACATAATCATGGAAGTGACACCCCATCACCTTTGCTGTGTTCTGCTGGTTATAGGCAAATCATAGGTTCCACCTATACTGAGGAGAATATATGAAGCCATGGCCATCAGGAGGTAAGGATCATTGGGGACCATCTCAAATCCTGTCTGCCAGACTAACAGAGACATTCATAACCAATTAAAATATATATCGGGAGTAGTATCCAACCATGAATTCACCACACAGATTTCTTTTGCCAAGAACCTCAGAACAAAGCATTGCTCAGCATACCTTATTAATTTGAAAGTATTTTTCAAAATGTCTATTATATTTATGGCATTAACAGTCTTTGTGTCTACAGTCATTCTCAGCAAATTGCCTGAAACATAAACTAGACTGATTTTGAATGTTACCATTTAATGAATAAATGAAGTTATTTAAATTGATATAAAATATTTTAATGTTATTTATCATGTAGACTGTGAACATGCCTTTTTTCTATTTTCTCTCATCTATAATTATTTGATTATAACCTGCCAGACAAGAAAAATTAACTTCATAATGTTTCGTATCCCTTAGAACCCAGAGCCCTAAGAT